TATTTTTTTTATCAATGTCTTCTTTAGGCGTAATTATTAATTCTTTCACTGCAGTGTTTTTTTCAAATTAGTTTTCCTCCTTATGTTTCTGTAGTTGATTCTTGAATTCAGATGGTATGAGTTCTGATAATTCTTTTCTTATTTCAGAAAATTATTCTGCTCTGAGTTCCTCTATAACTTTCTGTTTTTGTGTATTTACTATCAACACTCTTAATTCATGCGTTTGAGCTGAGCTAGTAGAAAAGAATTCTGCTCTGTGTTCCTCTATGAATTTCTGATGTTGCTTATTTACTCTTGACGCTATTAATTCATACATTTGACCCGAGCTAGTGTCCTCTGCACTTGTTCTGCTTGGATATTGGGTTTTCTTCATATGTTTCTGCATTTGATTCTTTACTGTAGATGTTATTAATTCAGGGATTTCTCTTTTCATTTTCAATCTGAGTTCCTTTATATCTTTCTGCAGGTGTTTCTTTATTTCAGAATCTTTTGATTTATTGAATTCAGCTGTGTGATTCCCAATTTGTTCTCTGTTAGTGTCTTCTGCACTTGTTATGGGTGGGCTTGGGTTCTGAGATTGCAATTTGCTCCTTCTCTTTGTCATTTTGTGTGACACTGTCTTCTACCTTTGTTGTAGAGCTTTGTTGCAGTTATAGCCTTAGCACCTATTAAAGTTCAGGTGCAAATCTACAATGTTTGGATTTATCCAGTTTTATCTATCTTGGGCCTGGCTACTGTGCTCACCTCCTTCGTTGTGCTGCCTTTGGGAGTGAACCTGTTGTGCCCCTCTTTCAAGATATTCTGCTACTGGACTAGCTGGGTTGTTCTGTCCCCTGCACTCTCTACAGGGACTGCATTTGCATGTTTTCACCTCAGGCATCTATGCGAAGACTGAGCTGAGTCTAGATGCTAAAAGTTGGAGTAGGGGGAGATGCAGCTCTCCCACACACTCACTAGGTCTGAGCTAGGACTGGAGCTGGGGGTTCCCAGAAAGCGACAGAAATTGCTACTCTGTGGGCAGGATAGGGAAGGTGATCTGGAGTGGTGGGATGTATCCCAAGTGGGTGGAAAAGGGTCCCACCCATGCTGCGCTTGGGCTGGGACCTGCAGGTCCCCCTGGCACAGGGTACCTGGAAGCTCTCCCACACATTTACTGGGTGTGGGCTAGGACTGTATCTGAGTGTTCCTGGAACATGGCAGAAATTCCATTTTTTGTTATAGAGGTCTTCCTTTATCTTGGTTTAAACCATCCAGTAGAAAAGTATAAAAATGTTGTATAAAAAGTAAAGCCATATTAATATGTTGAGCTGCAAAAAGCTCATGTCAAGAACTTCTGATATTGACAGTCTTATGGATAACATACTACTATTATGGACTACTGGAGTATATTGGATTATTTTGCTGAATTCACGCACCTACAGTATCTAAATGGGAATGGAATACCCAATTCTGCCAAAACGAAACAAAAAAAAATTGGGATATAATTGAAGGACCAGGCAGTAGGAGTGGCGGGAGCCTGCCTCTTCCAGCTGAAGATCACGATGCAATGGGAGGCAAGCCCTAGTAATTCCCTTATTGACAGAACCATCAAGATGAGAAAAGAAACTGAAGCTAGGAAAGTGGTTTTAGCCTGGGGCCTTCTAAATGTGTCTATGGCTGGAATGATATATACTGAAATGACTGGAAAATTGATTAGTTCATATTATAATGTGTCATACTGGCCCCTCTGGTATATTGAACTTGCTCTTGCATCTCTCTCTTCAGCCTTAATGCCTTGTTTGATTTTTGGAGATACTTCAAATATACTGTGGCACCAACAAGTCTCATTGTTAGTCCTGGACAGCAAAC